GGGGAGGGGGCAAGTGAGCCCGGACGTGGCCCGCTTGGCCGGCCGGAGGGCGCTGGCGCGGCTGCGACGCCCCAGAACGGAATCAGGCTTTCGGTGACACTGTCCCACCGCAGCACGCGGGCCTCAGTGCTCCTCTGTGCTCTTTCAGGATGACGACTTCAGGCGCTCTCTTCCCAAGCCTGGTGCCCGGCTCTCGGGGCTCCTCCAACAAGTATCTGGTGGAGTTCCGGGCAGGAAAAATGTCATTAAAAGGGACTACAGTCACCCCAGATAAACGGAAAGGGCTCGTGTACATCCAGCAAACTGACGACTCGCTTATCCACTTCTGCTGGAAAGACAGGACCTCTGGGACCGTGGAAGATGTGAGTGCCTGTTATCCCAAAGCCTGTCCCAGAGAGAGAGAGAGAGAGAGAGAGACCGCCTGATAAGCTGTAAGGGCGCCTTGCTGCTCTCTCGCCGTGTACCCAAGGGTTCCCGTTTTTCAGGGAGTTGGGGTGCGTGGGGACTTCTGGCCGGGTGCTGTCACCAGCTGGTGTACAGCTGGTCTCACGCCTGACAGAGACGGCTCCCACCACTGCAGTCATGTGTTGTGCAATGACCGTAGTCCGGGAGGTTTAGCACCTTGGGGACGACAAAACTAACGGAAGGTGTTTCTCAGCCCGTGCTCCTGGTCTGAGAAGTCTTAGGTGACTGGCATCGCAGAAGTTGTCAAAAGCCCTGACCTTCATCACAACCCTCAGGAAGAGAAAGCTTTATCATGTTTCTTCTGTGTTCTTTGCTCTTTGTCCCACTTGAGGGCAAGGCAGAGATGGCTTCTATCTCATCCTGCAGCGCTGTTCTCAAAATGTTTCTGTTAAAGTCCCGTGAGAGCTGATGGCACCCCAGCCCCGCCCCTGAACCTGGTGTAGGGTCTGCCCCTCCCCGTGGAGTGTCTGCCCATGACTAGTGACTTCCCTGTGCCCGTGCCCTGAGACTCTAGCTCCAGAGATTTCTTGAGAGACTGCAGCCTGGCAGTGCTTGTGCGCATGAGGCTAACTCCTGTGCTTGTGGTTGTCAGGACCTGATTATATTCCCCGATGACTGTGAGTTCAAGCGTGTGCCTCAGTGCCCCAGCGGGAGGGTCTACGTGCTCAAATTCAAGGCAGGGTCCAAGCGGCTCTTCTTTTGGATGCAGGTATATGGGAGGGTTTAATTTGTGTTGTTACCTTTTCTTGCCTTTGTATAGCCTGGTGTATCCGGTGGTGGAATTGGCTTTGGCACACAGCTGTGCTGACTTGGTCTGCCTGAGATATGTTACCAGGGGGGTGGGAAGCTGGGGTGGGGCTCCCCGCCTGTCCGAGGCTTGTGGCTGGGCTCCAGGTGCCCTTTACACACCGTGTGCGCCTGCTTTACTGAGGCGACAGCAGCAGGTTCACTGCTTCTGGTCCCCATGGACTCCTGAGGCCCCAGAGCAGGGGCGGGGTAACCTTGGGGCAGGGTCTCCTTGCTGTGTTCTTACATGGCGTATCCTCCCCAGACTGCCTCACAGAGTGTGCTGGACGCCTGGGACTCACTCACTGCAGCTTCCCTCTTAGCATAGATGCTTCTGGGAGCCTCTGCCCACTCTGCCACTTGTTGGCCGCAGGACATGGGTCTTTCCTGGGTGTGAGCTTGTTACCTGTAGGTTAAAGCTACGAGTATTGTGTATGTTCAGCAGCACGTGCACACGGGTTTGCAGTTCGGACAGCTGTTGCACGGTCCCTCTGCAGGTGTCGGCCTGCTGCCTGCCTCCAGCACTGTCTAAAGGGAAAGCGGCAGAGAACCATAGATGGTGACAGTGTGGCTGTGTCCTTGTAAACTTATTTACAAACAGGAGTCGGTGTGGTTTGTCAGCTGCTATAGTTTACTGTGGTGTTGAACTTTCGTCCCCTTCTATCTCTGTTCTTCTTGGTTTTACGTATTTAATGCTCTTCTTGCCGTTACCAGGAAGGCAGGGACTGTGTACCCTGAAGTCTACAGGGCTCAGCAGGTGCTCAGGGACGTTGTGGGTTCTGGGGGCATCTGTGGAGTGAGGTGTCTGGGGGCCCCACCCCTCTTGGCAGAAGTGTGAAGCAGGTTGTGCCCACTGGTAGAGGACAGGGGACTGCTGAGGGGAGAGGGTTTGGCCTGCCCTCCCCGTGGTGCACTAGGTGCCATCCAGCACCTGTGATTGCAGCTGCGGGGATGGCAGAGTGTTCAGGTGCTGCTGCGGCCCTGGCAACCATCTGGCCTGGTCCTGTGTGCTGTGGGCCGTGTTGAGGGCCCCGTAAGTGGACAGAGAGCCCTCAGAAGCCAGCATCTGTGTGTGCTGCTCAGCTGGGGCTCTTCTCGTCCTTCGCTGCAGGAGCCCAAGACTGACCAGGATGAGGAGCACTGCCGGAAGGTCAACGAGTACCTGAACAACCCCCCAATGCCTGGGGCACTAGGGGCAAGCGGAAGTGGAGGCCACGAGCTGTCTGCACTGGGCGGTAACGGTTGTCTTGGCCCTGGTAGTGCAGGCCAGTGTTTTCTAAGCAATTAACAGATAATAAATTAGAGCCCTTTTGTAGTTCGAGCTCAGTTCCACCTGTCTTTGTCGGGAGAGACATGGCTGGCCCCCACTGCCTCTTGCCACGTGTTGCTCTCTGTATAGTTATGGGGCCTGGCATCTTCCCTCTGAACCATGGTACCTTCATAGGCTGGGCCCAGGCCACAGGAGGCCCCGAGTCTGAGCCCTGTGTTTTCCAGGTGAGGGCGGCCTGCAGAGCCTGCTGGGGAACATGAGTCACAGCCAGCTCATGCAGCTCATCGGACCGGCTGGCCTTGGAGGACTGGGTAAGGCAGCTAGCTGCCTGGCTCGCTCTCGAAAGCAGGCCTCTTCCCTGTGCTTGCATTTGAACCCAGTGTTTGCTTGAAGCACTTGTTGATGCTGACTGAGCAGCATCTGCGTGGATTCCCTGTGCCTGTTTGGCTGGTTGCTGTGTGGGGGAGGCCTCTCTGGGTCCCCAGGTAGAACCCCATTATGTATTCAGGGGCACAGCTTGCTGAGGGCAGGACTGAAGGGTGAGAGCTCCGGGCTTCTGGCTGGGGTTCCTAGGTTGGGCTGGCACCAGCAGCTCGTGGTATGGTGCAGGTACACGTGCTGGACACTTAGGAAACAGCTGGTATGGTGGCCAGGACGTGGGACACAACAGAAGTGTCTGGCTCAACAGAACAAACCTTCAGACCATGGGATTGGAGCAGTCACCACTGCTTCCTGAGACCTGCCTCCCGTGTTCACTACCTTGCCCATGCGAGGCCCTTGGTGTGGGTGGGGCACCCTGTGGAGGGAGGCTAGGCCCGTGCCCAGAGGCCAGGGCTGCGTGCTGCCCTCAGCACACATTTTGCTGTTTATAGGTGGGCTTGGGGCCCTGACGGGGCCAGGCCTGGCCAGTTTACTGGGGAGCGGCGGGCCTCCTGCAAGCAGCTCTTCGTCCAGGTGAGCCCACAGCACCCGGCCTGCCACACAGGTACATCCTGTCAGCCACCGTGTCCCTCCCTCCCATAGCCCCCACACAGCAGGTCGGGTGGACGGAGTAGGCTCCATTGAGGGTCCTCAGGGCCAAGCCACTCCCTGGAGTGGTAGAACCTCACCTTCAGAGTGGGTTCCAAGTGGAACAGGCACCTGGTGGAAGCCTTGCTGCTCTAGCACTTCCCTCGCTCTTCCCAGCTCCCGGAGCCAGTCGGCAGCGGTCACCCCATCCTCTACCACCTCTTCTGCCCGCGCCACCCCAGCCCCTTCTGCCCCAGCAGCTGCCTCAGCGACCAGCCCGAGTCCTGCGCCCAGTTCAGGTAATGGAACCAGCACAGCAGCCAGCCCAACCCAGCCCATCCAGCTGAGCGACCTCCAGAGCATTCTGGCCACTATGAATGTGCCGGCCGGGCCAGGTGGCGGCCAGCAAGGTAAAGTGTGTTCATGGTAGGTGGGGGTGGGGGGGTGCCCCTTGTTTGCTCCCTGGCTGTGAGGCACTGGGCCGAGCAGGTCCCTGAGTGCTGCACTGAGTCCCCACCCTCTCCCTCATACCGCATGGCTGCTGGGTTCCAGGGCTTTTGGACTGTTGCTGCCTGGGCCAGTGCCGAGCTGCTGACGGCTGTGTGCTTGTGCCCTAGTGGACCTGGCCAGCGTCCTGACACCAGAGATCATGGCTCCCATCCTTGCCAACGCAGACGTCCAGGAGCGCCTGCTGCCCTACCTGCCCTCCGGAGAGTCGCTGCCCCAGACTGCAGATGAGATCCAGAACACACTGACCTCCCCTCAGTTCCAGCAGGTAGGGCCAAACCCTGCCTGCCTGCCTGCCTTGCTCTGCTGTGCTGTGCGCACCTGTGACGTTGGCACACATCGAGGCAGCTCCCTAGGCCTTGCCTACACCCTGGCGGTGGCTCTGGGCTGTGCTGGGGCTGCTGGTACCCCCAGCACAGCATGTGGCTCTTTTTGCAGGCCCTGGGCATGTTCAGTGCGGCCTTGGCTTCGGGACAGCTGGGCCCCCTCATGTGTCAGTTTGGGCTGCCCGCCGAGGCGGTGGAGGCCGCCAACAAGGGCGGTAAGTGCCCGTTGGAGCTGTCCCCTCACTGTGCAAAGTGGTGCTGCCCGTCCCTCTGCCTCTGAGCTCCTGTCCCCGTTGGGCAGTAGCTTGGGCCAGAGTTCAGCAGTTTAATGTTTTAAATGTTTCAGATGTGGAAGCATTTGCCAAAGCTATGCAGAACAATGCCAAATCTGAGCAGAAAGAGGGCGATGCAAAAGAAAAGAAAGACGAAGAAGAAGATATGAGTCTCGATTAAGTTATTTGCTGTCTTCTAAGGAATTGAATTCTTAGTCGCGTGGCTCTAGTGATTGTGATTTGTTGCATACCCTGTCCTGTTCCGACTTACTAATAAATAAAAGTCCTTTCTTTTACCTGCCACCTCTGGTCTTCCTTTTTCCCCAGCATGAGCTGCAGCAGCTCTTCCCTGTGGACCTGCCAGTCGCACCCCAGGTTCCTCCTACCTTCTGGCGCAGACCCGGTTCTGGTCTGGGCAGCAGAGGCCAGGGCCAAGTCAACACTCAGCCCCGTGTATCTCTTGAGCTGACACACTCAGAATACTTTTTAATGTTTGTGTTGAGGAAACCAGTGGTGTTATGTCTAAAAGTGCTAAAAATTTGTGGGAGGTAGGAAAAAGGATAAAAGCCCATTTTACAGTGTTCTACCCTTCCATTTAAAAAGATAATTTAATCCATTTCCAGAAAAAAGACCTGTCACCCAGAGGACCTAGATAAATACCCACAATGCTCCTACGAAACTACTGAACGTGGAGGTGCTCAAGCCCCATGGGGCTCAGGTACCCTGGCCAGTCCTGGAGCTGCACCTTGCCCGTCTGTGGAGAATCTGCTGGAGGGCCCTGCCGGCCGCACTATGTGACTGGGCAGCCACTGGCCCCGACGGCCCCCTGGACACCTGCAGGGTGAGTCACAGTGATGGGGGTCCGGTTCACCACCAGCTTCCTCATGCAGCCTTGGTAGGTAGGAAGCGCAGACTCTGCAGCCATGGTCTCTGCGGATGCAGGGGAGGATGGGGTTGAGGATGGCAGCCTGGTCCCCCAGACCCTGGGTCTCGGCTGCCCTTACTGAGGCAGCAGGATGGGAGCAGATTACCCAGTGCCAAACAGGTCCCCCACCTTGGCCGAGGCCACTCACCAGGCAGGCCCCCGAGGTGCAGAGGTACTGGGCCATCAGCCACGGCCACTGCGACAGGGCCCACGGTGTGGTTGCTCTGTGTGTCGACCTCCAGCCGGAGTGCGTCCCCACCCTTGATGGCTGCAGGAGACACTTGTGGGTGCCCCCAGCCCAGCCAGTCCCTCAGGCGGGCTACGCTTGCTGAGGCCCACCCCAGCTCCCCACTCTTGGGCATGGGAAGGGACCTCCTCACCTGCCAGGCGGTGCCACTGCCCATCACACAGTGCTGCAGAGCGCGTCACCCACGTGGAAAATTCACCTGCCCCGTCATCTCCTCGCAGCAAGACCTGACGTGGGGAGGGGCAGGCTTGTCACCCAAGGTCACCAGAGTTGGGAGACCCCTGCTCTGCTACTGCACCCTGTTCACCTGCTTCTCGAACACCTGCAGCTGTAGGTACGGGGGACTCTGTGCCCGGCCCAGGTGGAAGATCAGCCCAGTGGCTGCCAAAGGCCGCACCTCCAGCTCCAGGCTCACGCGGGGCAGTGTGGCCCCCAGGGGTTCTGTGAGGAAGGCCCTGGTCAGAACAGAAGGCCCAGCAGGGCACAACCTCCCACAGTCCCTCCTCTGCCCCCCAGACCTAGGGTGACAACTCCTCCACTGCCTGGGAAGAACAGGCCACTCTCCAGGGGGCCTGGGGTGCAGGGTGTGACCCCCACCATCCGTGTAGGGGCCCCCAAGGGCCGCCCATCCAACTGCAGTCTCTTCACACAGCCATTGAAGCCGATGTCCACCTGTGGACAAATGGCTGAGTCAGGCTGGGGTCATTGCAGAGGGGGACGGTGCCAGGCCAGGTGGAGGCTGGGCGGGGGCAGGAGGGTTCTCACCGGCAGGGAGCTATGGCTGTTGGCTGGGAGGCCCCCCACAAAGAGGGTGTGGGGCTGCAGGACCTCTGCCTTCTGGGCCCGATGGCTGGGCTGCTCATGGCTCCAGCCCGGGACCCCATCTGTGAGGAGCTGAAGCTGACTTTTCTCCCAGTGCACAGAGACCTGGGGGGGAGGGAAGGTCAGCAAGGTGGACCCAGGGCCCTGCCCGCGTCCTGGCCTCAGCTCCTCACCTTGTGCCACTTGCCAGCCCGTGAACGCTGGCGGCTCTGGACGCGAAGGGGGCGTCCGGGCCCTTCCGTCTGTGCGACAAACCGTCCGTGGCTCAGGAAGACAGCCAGGGAGGGGCCGCTGGCTGCCAGTGGGGCAGCGAAGAGCAGGAGGCCTCGGGGGGTGTGAGGGCGGACGAGCAAAGAGAGCTGGAACCTGAGGCCAAGCACAGGGTCAGCCTCAGCAACCCCTCCAAACCAACCCTGGCCTGGCCGCACCTTACCAGTCCCTGTGGGGGTCCAGGATGCCTGCAAACTCCAGGTGACTGGGAAGGGGACCCCCAAACTGGAAGGCATCTCGGGTCTTGCTGAGGTACAGAGGTGGCCTGCATGCAGGGTCCTGGCTAGGCTGGCGGCTGCGGCGGGAGCTCTGGAGGGACCCAGACAAACGCACATTCCGGGGCTGCCCTCCTGCCCACCCCAGCTCAGCCCCACACCACCCGGGCCTCACCTTTCGAGCCACAGCCCGCAGTCCTTGAGCTCCCTGCCCCGGCGTCTGGGTGTGCGGGGCCAGGGCACAGCCTGTGCTCACGTTCACACTGCCCAGGTTCTGCTGCAGGTCAAATACGCGCTGTGGCCCCTGGAGCCTGGAGGAGGTGGGAGGTCAGGCGTGGTGGAGGGGCAGCGGAGGTGTCTCACCGTCCCCGCCCATCACTCACCGCCGCACAAAGACGTTGCTGATGCAGCCACTGAAGTTGTGGAAGGAGGCGGCAGGCTCGGACAGGCCCCCTAGGAGGAGCTGGGGGAGCTCCTCAGATGAGGGGTGCTGCCTGGGGGGAGGCCCACGGTGAGGCCTCATCTGCTGCAGCTCGTCATCCACGAACAGCCAGACCCTGGAGGCACAAGGGCAGTGATTCCCTGGCCCGCAGGGCCAGCCCAGCCCCGGCAGGAGGCCATGTGCAAGGCTCACCCTGTGGCATTGCTGTAGAAAGCGGCATAGTGGGGGGCACCATCGTTGAAGACCCCTCGCGTCCTCAGCTCTGTCCTCATAAGCCGCAGCATCACGTGGCCTTGCTGCAGGGACACCTGGCACAGCCCATCCTGGGGACAGAGGCCCGGTCAGTTACAACAGAGTGCCCAGACACCCTCCCTCCTCCGCTCCTGCCACTTCGGCCCCCAGACTGTCACTATGGCAGGTAGGGAGGAGCAGCAGCCCACGTGGGGCAGGATGAGGGCCCAGGAGGGTGGGCTCACCAGGGATGCTCGATAGTAGAGCAGACCGCTGTCCTGGGTGCTGCGAAAGCCAAGGCCGGAGTAGATCGCACTGGTGAGGGGTGCCACATCGGGGAGCGCCAGGGGCAGGAAGCCATGGCCATGGAAAGTCATGGTGCGTCCCACCTGCGGGGAGGGGAGCCTTGAGTGCCGGCCTTGGCAGGAGAGGACGGTGCCTGGCTCAGGTGGCGGGACAGGTGGCTCACCAGCAGGTCCGCCGTGCAGCCGGCGCTGATGCCTGTGGTGTTCAGCCTCTTAAGGTCCACGTATTTGCCGAGAGCTTTGATCCCTTTGATGCAGCCGCGGATGGAACCCCCAGAGGGGAAGAGTCGCTGCAGGCTGCAAGGGGCAGAGTCAGGCCTCCTGGGCCCTGCCTGGGCCACCCTGGGTGCCGCCAGCCAAGCACCGCGTCCTCACCTTGGCGGCAGCTGCTCAGGTGGCACCCCCCCCAGGTAGTAGACACTGGCCATGTCCAGTGTGTTGTTCTGCTCCACGCTGAACACCGTGGTCCTCTCCACGCGCACCAGCACTCGCTTGCGGCTGCCCGCCAGCAGGAACAGCTGAATCTGCGGAGCAGGACAGAGGGCTTCAGGCCACGCCTCAGCCTTGGGGCCTCCCTGATCCAGGGGTGCGTGCACTCACCGCCTTGCTGGCCGTGGTCAGGGGCGGAGGCGGCTGCAGCGGAGTGGCCTCCTCCAGGCCCGTGCCCAGGTCGTACAGGAGCACGAGGTTGCCTTTGAGCATGGCCAGGCACAGGAACTGGCTCTAGGGTCACAAGGACGGGGCAGGGTCAGCACAGGGTGAGGCTG